CTGCTACTGCAACAAATTCTTGCTAAAACACCACCGCACACTTTCCCCTTTCCTAATCTAAAGGGGCAGAAAGGGCAAAATCCTGTTGTTTAATTTGCAGCCAAAATCTACGAGCTACTCAAAGCTTCCTATATATCAAACTAAGTTAATTAATGTTAGAATAATATAGTGGTTTTGGGGAAAGGATTGTTTTCTACCTCTTTTTAGTTGCTGCATTGTTCATCTCTCTACATCATTTTCAGTACTTTATGAGGGTCACAGGCAATTCCTTCCAGGAACAGGAGTGGATGTGAAGAGTGGAGAAAAGGTAACAGTGAGAAGACAGTGGCCCATGGAGCCTGGAGATCCAGCTCCAGTTACAACATATACAGAAGCAAATTTCTTCACATGATTCACCCTCTGGATTCTGGGATAATTTTTCAATTTCATTGCAAGAAAGGTGCCGGCTGCTCAAGAGATAATCTTATCCTTGGGTAAGAGGAGAGATTCTAGGTGTGGGATAAAATAGCTGCTGTTATGTACAGGACACTCCAGGTCATACACTATGTCATCACTGTCATATTCACAGCGTGACCTCAGTCTTTACATCAACTTCTTTTTTATTTTCAAGAAAGGATTTCTCTTTGTTACAGCCCTGCCTGTCCCAGAACTCCCTCTGTAGACCAGGCTGGCCTTAAACTCACAGAGATTTTGGCTGCCTCTGCCTCCCGAGTTTTGGGATTAAAGGCGTGTGCCACCAATGCCTGACCAACAGCAACTTTCATAGACTAAAACATTTTCAATATTTAATGAGTCAAGTGCAAATCAAACTCAAATGATGGGCAAATATTAAAATAAATGATAGCACCAAAGCAGAAAAGTTAGGCTGAAGATATTTCAGCCAGGTGTGGTGGTGCACCCCTTTATCTCAGCACTCAGGAAGCAGAGGCAGGAGGTTCTTTGTGAGTTCCAGGACAGACAGAGCTTTGTGGAGAGACTCTGTCTCAATCCCACAAAAGATATTTCAGTTTTTTTCATATCAGGATGTGTCTATTATTTCTTTTTACCACTGTTTTAAATTGCTTTACCACTGATTTCAGAAATAGCCAAAAAAGGAGTTATTTCAACAGTTGTGTATGCATCACTATCATCCCATGTCACAGCTTTCTTGGGAAATCTGAGAAATTTTGAGACAAGTCAAAAAGCCACACACTATTTAAATTATTTCTTAGTTAACAATTAGCATGTGCAAATGACCAAACTTTTAAGGAGTCATAAAATCCTATTAATTATGCATAATTAAAACTCTTTAGTCTTTGAAAGAGTAGTTTAAATGTGAGTTTTATAATCTTTAAAAGATATATTACATGCTCAGGAGTTGGAGATTAAAATGATGTCTTGGAAATAACTGAAAATAGCATAAGTACCTCAAAATGTTTGTAGATTTGACTCACAGAAATTATATTAGAATAACAAGAAAGATATAAAATGTTTCATAAATAGAAAGATCATCACAGTCCTTACTATACTGGTGACAAAGTAGAAAGGCCATAAAATAAATGATTAAAGAACATCAGAAGATCCACAGGGGGGGTTGACAAGATGGCTCAGGTGGTAAAAGCTCTTGCAGCCAAGCGCAGCAATTTCAGGGGTTTGATCCTGACAGGTCCCATGAGTGAAAGGAGCAAACTGACTCCATATTGTCTCTTAACCTCCACATGCTCCCTATGGCACATGTATGCCTCACTCCCCACAAATAAATGTTGAAAAGAGAAACTTGGAGATTATAAGTAAGAGTAATATTGGCCCAAAGTTAGCGTTTCCAATATAAAATGTGGCAATCTTCGGTACTCGTGGGAAGACAAATAAGTGCTAGTTATTGGAAGGTCATGTTAAACGGATACATTGCAATAAAAAGTTGTTCAGGTGAGAAAGGGAATTCGTGAAGATGACCATAGTTTTTAATTTAGGCAGAAAGAAATATTAATATGCTTATAAAGAGTTAAAGATTATTTAAAAATATCTGTCTTCACAACTCAAGTAAGAAAGGGCACTAATATTATTAAGGATGTTGACTTATAGGAAACAGTGTCGAGCAAGATTTGCTAGTCACACAGAAACACCAACAGTAAAGACCGAAGTTGGCAATCAAGTCATTCACAAGATGACTGAGCAACAAAGAACTAATGCATCCACAACACTTCTCTCAGTAAATCGTCCCCAAACTATGAAAGAATGACTAAACCGATTAATTTGTGCCTGACCTAGAAGCAAATACAGGAGATAATATTTAAATAGCTCTACAGAAACTTACCCCAAGAGAAGAAGGGTCGTATGAGATTTTGGGATCTTCATTATTGCCATCTACAGCCACAGAAGGATCATCACACAGGAGATCCTGAGGGGGAGCAATCTCTGGTGCCATATGGAGAAAATTAAACCCCGCTGCAGTCGTAGAATGCGAGGCAACACACAGATTATAGGAATAGGGCAACGTTCCCTCGCTGCAGTTGGGAGGAATCACAGACTGAGACTTCCAACTGAGACCAGGCTGAAAGCAGCTCCAGGCTGCTGAACTGGAGGAGTGTCGCAGGCGCAGGGCAATAGCCAAAATCACCGCCAGGAGGAAGAGTACTGAGATCAGGGCCAAGGCCGCCACCAGGTAAAACTGCAGCTCACTCTGGGAGTCAGATGGCAGAGGGTCATCGCTGAGGTCTGGCAGGACCTCCTGCAGGCTGTCAGCGAAGATCAGGTGCAGCGTGGCTGTAGCCGAGAGAGGCGGTTGTCCACCATCACGCACAGCGACCAGAAGGCGCTGCCGGGCCGTGTCTCTTTCACCCAAGGCACGGGCTGTGCGCACCTCGCCAGTGCGCAGGCCCAGGCTGAAGAGCCCGGGATCGCTGGCCTGCAGCACGTGGTACGACAGCCAGGCATTGTGTCCCGAGTCCGCGTCCACAGCCACCACCTTAGTGACCAGGTATCCGGGCTCGGCGGCGCGCGGCACCATGTCGAAGAGAGCAGAGCCGTCGGGCTCGAGCGCGGGGTACAGCACGCGTGGGGCGTTGTCGTTGCGGTCGCCCACCAGCACG